ACTTGAACATATAGCAAAAGCTCCTGGGGGGTCCCAACATTCCTGAGGGGTTTAGTTCTTAGGCAATGGTTAACTGCTTGTTTTTGTCTAGGTTAAAAAGAAAAAGATATACTCACCTGATCCTTCGAGCTGGTTTGTTCTTAGGCCAGTCCTTCCAAACTCTCTCTACCTCTCCTCTGCAGCGGTCTAAGGTCCAGTTGATCAGGTTTATACACCGAGTATAGATGTGAGGATGCTGGGAAACATTCCAATGCTGCAGCGTAGGAGGAGACAGGCTGGAGGGAGCGCTGTGACAGCTGGCTGGTTCGGAGCTCCGGGTGACTATAACTGTTATTTTTGAACCTAGACAAAAAAGAGCACTTAACCCTTACAGTTCAGGGGTAGCCCCACTGCAAGAGTTAATAAAATGTTTACCTGGAGTTCTGCTTTAAGCAACATGTGGCTCTAGGGTTGTTCGAACTGCCTAACAGCCTTTCCGAAGGCATGCTGAGTCATCTAGTTCCAGACCCTACATAATCCCCACCTCCCCAGAAATACGTCCCCACAGGAGACAAAACTCTGGGCTTCTTTTTTAATCCTTTTAAATGGTGAGGCAATACAAGCGGAACATTTCCACCAACTTTTGTGGTTAGAATTCCAAGAACCCTAACATTTAAAAATCTACAGCATCTAATTTAAGCCTCTTGCTCTGTTCCGCCTGCGTTTTATTTAACTGGAATGACATTAGGCAGCAGTAGTCTCCAGCTTTAGAGGTGGAGGAAGTGGCCAGTGACAAACGTGGGAGAAAGCCACAAGACAGCTGCCAAACTGATGAGAAAATACTTCAGACACGGCCGGATGGAAGAGAATTATCATTAACCACTGGATGGGGTTTTTTTATTCTGACTGAAGATAAAAATATGGTATTCTGAGTAGAGTGTTCCCACACCATACAATCTGAAGTCAGAAAACAACATGGATTGTATAAATCAGGGCAATATACTGGAATGTTTATTAAAAATAAACACTATGTAAGTAAAGCACATTATCAACTCAAATCCATTCATTTATTGGAAAAAAATCTCTGGCAAAAAATAAATAAATATATATATATATATTAGTTGTTGTTACACAAGCCATCAGGTCACATATTTTGTTTTACATTAAAAAAAAAAGTATATTCCTTGGTATATGAAAGGGAGATGCTCTGTACACGGTTAGAACCTTCATTTCTTGCTTGTGTGATTGGCTCACTGCGATTCTTAGGAGTCATCACTGTTTAAAGTTTACTACTGTCAAGCTTGGAGTTAGGGTTACATGGAGGATTAATGCTTAGCTTGGGTCTGGTATACAGAAAGAGCCATTACCATCTTAGGGTTAGTGTAAAGCTGGCCCTACACCTATAGATTATCTGCAGATTTTCTATGGCCAGATGGAAAAAGTGCAACAGATTCCTCCATCTACGCTAAACTGTGTGGATGGAGGAATCTCCCGCTGAGCCAAGCTTCAGTATCTTGCTAGTCGGCCCGTTGGCTCTCAAAATACCTGAACATTGCCTGCATCCAATCAGATCGTTCAGGTATTTTGACAGCCAGCAGAGCCAACTAGCAAGATACTGAAGCTTGGCTCAGCGGGAGATTCCTCCATCCACACAGTTTAGCGTAGATGGAGGAATCTGTTGCACTTTTTTCATCTGACCATAGAAAATCTGCAGATTATATGTGTATGGCCAGCATTAGGGTTAGATTACAGGGAGGCCTAGTATGAGGGCTGGGGTTAGAGAAAATGTTGGTGTGAGAGATGGGTTACAAGTTAGTAGGAGGGTTCAATTCAATTACAGGGAGGGCCAGTGTCTGGATCAGGGTTATGGGGAGGGTCAGTGTCTGGATCAGGGTTACAGGGAGGGCCAGTGTCTGGGTTAGGGTTGCAAGCAGAGTTAGTTTAAGGGTTGGGTTACAGGAAGGATTAGTGTTATGCTTGCGGTTAGGATTCCAGAGTGAGTTACTCTGAGGTTGGGTTACACAAGGGATGGTGTCTGAGTTAAAGTGTACTTTCACTTTTGCAGCCAAATTAGGCAAACACCTACATTATATTTGTAATATGTTCCCATTGCATAACTTAAATATTAATAAAATATTTATAAATGGCTGCTTACAATTGCGTGCACACGCCCATGCCCGGCATCAAACGGCCTATTTAAGGTTGCAATCTGCATATGTGCAGGGTTCAGTGATCTTTGGCTAGTGTTCCTGACTTCTGCTCCCCGTGTTGACCCGGCTGGACTCTCAACTCTGCTGCACTCCACCTGCCCTTATGACCCAGGCTTGTTATCCGACCTCACCCTTATCTTCTGATTTGGTAGATTCTGTCCACAAGGCTTTGACCCGGCCTGTCTTCCGTTACTGTGTTGCAACACTCTTGGCCCAACTCGGTTATTCTTCTGCATTGCTGCTGTTCCCTCTGCTGTCAGCATCACCCCCTAGTGATCATCGCCATCTGCTGACTCCTATATCCAGTTTCCTGTTTCACCAGTCCAGATTTCTTCAGCAGCTCCTGCATCTGCTGGCACTCGTGTCCCTCTCTGTCCCTACACCTGCTGTTCCAGTATCAGGGGTGCTGGGATGAGAGCAGCAAGAAGAGGCCATCCTTATCACTTCGGGTGCATACTAAGGTACATGACAGAGTGTTTTTCAAATTAGACTGCAAAAGTAGAAATACACTTTAAGGTTATAGGGAAAGTCACAGCCTGGCTTGGAGTTAGAGTTACAGGGTTAGTGTGAGTCATAGGAACCAAAACTCCAATTCCTGGACATGACCTGGTAGTTAAGGTGGCCATACACTGTGCAAATTTTGCCCGGTTCTTGGTGAACTGGCCGAAATTTGCACAGTGGGTACCACAGTCGGTAGTCTTTCAGTCGGCATCCCTCGATCAGCTGATTGAAGGAGCTGGTCAGAAAATCTTCAAATGAACAGAGCCAATGAGCTTCGAGCTCTATTCCAGTATTCTGACAGTTGCTGATGGCCACAGTCAGAATACAATGAAGACAGCAGGAGATTCCTCGGTCAACGCTCGTACGCATTGATGGAGGAACCTGTAATATTTGCTTTGTTGTGCCACAGGTTGAACGAAGAAAATATTACAGTGTATGACCAGCTTTAGAGACACAGGGACAGTTAAAAATGTTTATTCACAGAAATAAATTCTAATGAAAGGTACCATGTGGACACAAATACAAACAGTTAGTGGAAATATTTTTTTTCTTGCGTCACTTAAAAATACACATTAAAAAAAAAAATCACATAGAAGGCAGATTATTTTTGATTAGAACTTTCATTTGTTATTGCATTATTGTAATGACTCAACAATGAACATATGAAAAAATAAAGAACTTACAGGAAAAACAAAAAAAACACCCACCACAGTCAAACTGCATCATCACTGCTGGAATGTTATTAAGTATATTTAAATAAACACTGTAGTATACATATCACCAATATATACATTGCAGCACATAAATCACCCTTTGGAAAGAGAGAAGGGAAAGTTGGCATATTGCTACAAGCAGCCAGTTTCCAACTTTCATTTTCAAAGTGTAAGTTAGCAAATAAAGCCAAGAAGCTGATTGGAAAGCAATGACAGTGCCACCTTTCCCCCACCCCTGAACTTCTTTCCCTTTTTTAGAATGCTAAAAAATACTGGACCCCTGTTAGTTAGTCAAGAAACGTATAAACAAGATAGAGATGCAACAAAAAACCAACACCGGCGCCTCCGGCTGCAAAGCAGGCCAGCTGTAACGAATGTTGAAACACAAAAGCTCCCACAGGTCACATAGACCACCGATCTGGGAAACAAAAGGACAAAACAGAGCGCCTCCATAGTGTAAAAACATAATTTATTAGTACAACACACAACCTCAGGTTCGGATGAAGGGGGCGTGCCCCTGAAACGCGTAGACCTTTTGAACTCACAGGGGCAGAGGACGCTGATGTGATACATCCTTTCAGACTCCCGCTGCTAGAGATTTCGAGTTCCATCGACCTTTACATGATTTTAACTACCGACTTTTTTTGTAAGTACAATTCTAGTTGTGTGTTGTACAAATAAATTAAGTTTTTACACTATGGAGGCACTCTGTTTTGTCCTTTGTTTCCAAGATAGAAATGCATTGAACATACAAAAATTACTCACAGGTAAAATATATTGGACAAAACACAACAATGTCATAAGAAGGGGAAAAAAAGAAAAAATAGAAATCTAAAAGATCTGCTTTGGCTTTAGTCCACACTAAAGTACCCTTCACAAGAACAGAAATTCTAAACATTTTAACATTCTATTCCTTTATGGGAGAACAAAATAATACACAATTTTTGGCCAATATGACCATTAAAAGAGATCCTTCAAAAATGTAAAAATATACATTTGTATTCAAATTCATACAAACCCAGAAAACACCGCTGTGTTTCAGTCTTAAAGTTCCTTAGGTATCAGAGTAAAAACCATTTGGATCCAATATCAGCAGGGGGAAAAAAAGGAAAAAAGATTTCCTGTATCTATGGCAAAAAGGTTTGCCATAGATATGGCAAAAAGGTTTGCCCTTTAATGCTGAGTTTCTGATCTGCATACGTATTTCAGCTCAGTGACCCAAAGTATGGATGCCAGATATTTAGAATGATAGCCAGACAACTTTCATTTTCAAAAGAAGGTAAGCCATGGAAGCCCCATAGGTTCACTAAGGAAAGGTTTAATTTAAAAATAGTACCATTGTAGTAAAGACAACAACTTTTTTGTTACATAAGTGCAGATAATAAAACAGGTAATTGTGCAGATAATAAAACAGGTAATAAAACCGGTAATCTTTAAAGTCATTGTAAACCATCAACACCCCCCTGCAATCCCTGACCTAATAACCAACATGTAAACACACAAGAAAACAAACAGATTAAAAACAGTCTTTGGCATTTGTAGTTGACACAAGGTCCGGAGTGTTCTTTTCTCGTAACAAGGCGTTCAGTTTTTTTTTTAAAGTATACACCGTAATCAAAATCAGCTGCATTTGCATAAAATGTTACAGTGTACTCTCATCACAGTGTTAAGTATAAACAGTCCTCCGTCATCTTCTTATGTGTTTTGACGGAACACCCATTTCTGCAAAGCGTCTTCAGGATTACAGGGTGCAAGGTTTGGGTTCGGCCCGTTGCCTGTAAGGCACATGTTGTATGCAGCATTGAACAACTGTTGCTCCTAGAAAAAAAAATAGAAAATTAGGTATTTTAGTTTGCAAAATGGTCTTGGAGCTGACCTAAATATTTTATATAAAAAAATCTAAAGTCTAAGATCAGAAAAAAAGGGAATTAACCCTAAAATTGAACTTAATTTGTCACTTTCAGCTGCTGTCCCATCCATAGCAAACTTTCCTATTTTTGCTGCAAGCCTCCCCTTTTAATAAAACGGATTCTGTTCCAAGGGGTGCTATTTTAGAGTTATTTATTTGGGGGGTATATGACTTCTTATTTGATGTTGATACGGCCTTTATTTTAGGTTAAGCTGCTTTTTTGTTTTGCTTTCCTTAAAACAAGGTGGGCTTTTGTTTCAGGGGTGGTGTTTCAGGGTTTTTATATGTTAAGGCCTTTTTTTAAAGTGTGGGGTGCTTAAAGTGGAACATTCACTTGTTACTGGTCATCTGTGCTTTAAGATGCCTTTCGTGCAGAGCATGCCCCTGCTTTGCATAAATGGTAAAAAAAAAACACTAAGTGCATGAACAGTGTGCACCTAAACCACCTCATATTATATCACTTGCATTCACCTCACCACCTATTGCCATAGATAAACTAGAAGGTAGGTATTTACCAGTTAGGCCTATTAGCCCTGATTAAAACTGTTCTGCTGCTGGCCAGTTTTACACTGCTATATCAACTGCAGCTTAATTCAAGTAGTAAAAACCCAACCTGTGGTCTCTCTCTCTCTCTAGTAAATTTGTACCTAGCCTTATTAAAATTGCCCTGCAGCTGGCCAATGTTGCACTGATGTTTCCTCTGCAGTCTCTTAATTCTTCATGAAAGTTAATAGCAATTGGCCACTAGCAGGACAGTATTGCATCAGTGACAACAAGGACAATTTCTACCTGCCAGTCAAAGCAGTCCTATTTCCGATTGATGATAAAGCATGTGTCACTGATAAAGCTACCTGAAGAAAAGCCTTTTTTTTCAAACTGAAATGAAATCAGATTGGGTGCTGCCACTTTATGTGAACAAAGCTATTTGACTGTGAAATTGTGTTTTTATATCTTACAAATATGCGCTGCCAGTATTCACCTTCACTGAGACTCTCTGTAAAAATTGTACTGTTCTGTAACACCATATACAGTTTTAAAGGTCTCTCCTAAGCATTTAATTGTATTTAAATGATATGTGTATTTTCAATGATGTTCGCAAACTCACTTGAAAATATTGTCTCTCTACTGTACAGTATTTTATTTTTTATTTTTTTGGGGGATTGGCACATGTTCTTTAAGTCAGTGCCCAATTTACCATGGATTTTTTTTTTTTTACAGTACTTTCCTATTAGCCCTAAACATGGCCAAAATGTAACAAGATTCCACCCCCTCCCCCTCTCTCCCGACCCCATGAGTTTTGCCAATATATTCCGGTTTGTGGAATTTCAAACAAAAATTTGCCAAACCCTTGGCATATAGAACTTGGACAGAGTCACCCATCACTACCTACCACCTGAATTATTTAGACCCAGCTCTGGCCGCCAACTATTTTTATATTGGATACAGTGAGAAAGAATTAGATTCTCTCTGTCAAATCCTTACTGTTGCCCGTGACTCCATCAAATTTCTCTTCTAAATAGATAAAAATAGAAAGGGTAGGATTTGATCCTCTCTATTCCCCTCTCTGTCTGAAGCAAAAAAGAAAAAAAAATTGTTGTGAATGCTCAGAAGCTCTGTCCCCAGCTGTGCCTGTGTCCCCATTAAGGAGATCTGCCTAATGAGGACATAGGCTGTAATTATGAAAAGTATGCTTGGGAATATTTACAATTTCAAGGATTATGGAAAAACGCACCCGGTGTCAATTTTTTCCCCCTGGAAAAAAAAAAACCAGTTGGTATAAGCCCCCCACAGGAGGTATTGCTTTACCTTCTGCTGTATTTGAAGTGCTAGAATTTGTGAATGGGTGTAAATGAATCCATGACCTTATAATCGTACTACTGACATTCTTGCAGATGTAGAAATGTGGTTTCCAAGTGTACATATTTAATCATGCTATGGATTTACATAACTACATGTATATATTTTAGCATTCCCTGCCTTTACATAAATATATGTATATAGTTTTAAGCACTACAAGGTTGTGATTCACATTGTTTTATTGAACACACTTCAAAGACTGTTGTTAGGGATTGATCAAATGTGGAATTTCCTATAGCTTTATCAAATGGGTTCTCAGTTTCATAAACTCAAAAATTCAAGAAGTGATCCCCTTTATGGTCAGCCAGGACCCTGATTTCACATTAGTCTTGAAGTCTTTGCAAACAATTAAACATATTGCATATATAAATGATCAAAACACACCTGTCGAAGCTCCCATTTTTCCTCCTGCAGCACTATGGTACCTTTGCCTTTGTAGCCACACTTTTTGAGCATTACAAGTCCTTTACTAGCTCGTAAACACAGCTCTTTCTGGATATTATGTCGAATTTCATGGCTTGACGTATATTCAAAATACTGCAAGTAAAAACACAACAGGACACATCATCATCCATCCATATGAAATAACTAATGTCTGTGAAAAGTAAGAGGTTTGGGGATCCTAAAACTGCCATTTCTAAGTTGCCATTTTTAAAGTTGCTTAGGTAAGATACGCAGCTATCTTATACATCATATTGCCAAACCCTTCTGGACACCTGATAATCAACACCTAAATGAGCCTATTAGACATCAGATCCTGAAACCATGGCCTCCACTCTTCTGCGAAGGCTTTCTAGAAAATCTTGGGAACATGTCTGGGGGAGATTTGCCCTGTGAGGCAAAGGAGCATTTTTGAGGTCAGATACTATTGATTGGATGATAAGACCTGGCTTGCAATTGACTTTCCAATTCATCGTAAAGGTGTTCACTAGGGTTAAGGTCAGCGCTCTGTTTAGGTCACTTGACATCCTCCAAACCAAACTAATTAAACCATGTCTTTATGGACTTGGATTTGTGTACAGGGACATAGTCATGTCTTCCTGAAACAAAGCTGGAAGTGCTCTATTGTCTAAAATTCCTCCGGGAACTCCAGGATTTCACTCTCCTATGAACTAGAAGAACGTATGGGGAAATCCATCTGGTTTTAATATGCAACAAGATTAGTTCTTCTTTCAGCGTGAGAGAAAAAGATGTCAAGTTTCAAAGGATTCACTCGATTTGCTGAAATTACATAGGGGTTATTCTGAGAGAAAAAAAAAATCTCCTACCTGGTTTCCTCCAAGTCCATGACAACTGTAGAAGATTGGAGGTTTCTCTCCATTACTATTCTCTCCTCCAACATCCAAACATCTCTGGTTTCCAATATTTTGAATCTGAAAATGCAACAAAACCATGTTAGATTGCTCCCTCGTCTTCTGGATTTTTGGGATGTTCTTGCCATTGTAATTTATTATGCTCCAGATAGATAATAATTCAAAAAATACATGTTATTGCAGTTGTGCATGTATTTCAGTAAAAAAAAAAAAAACAATCATATGTTCCTGGAGTTGAGCTTCAGGTATAAATGTAGAAAATGTGCTGTCTGCAAGCAATTGTCAGTTGGAAAAACACTGGTAAAGTTCCAACCAATAAACACTTCCTTTACTAGGACATTCACAGATTCTGCACATTTCTGGTGTCTACCATGAACATAATACAGATCAGTGCTGTTCAATGGCCAGTGCCAGTCAATGACAAGTAACTTTTATGTCCCTACCTACAGATAACTTTTAAAAGCTAACTTGCGATTGATTCTGGGTGCTGAAGCACACTTCTAGCGAGTGTGCTACACTTTAACAGCAATTTCTCATCGGATAAGCAATGAAAAGGCTAACCTAATCTAAATATCCCTGAAAATTAGCTTACTAGTGTCTAATCAACATTACAAAACAACTACATGCACTTAGGCATGCCTAAATCAACGCATTAAATGGCCAGTCCACACAAAACTGAATTGCTCGCCAGCTTCGCATTTATTCTTCTGGCTGTTAACACCCTGACAGCAAAAATTGAGAGCCAATGATCCCAAAAAAGGATGCAGATCGACGCTATGACTTTGCATGATGCATGCTTATTGTAGGTCAATGACAAGAAAGTACAGACAACCAAGATTCACACACCTTTACCCAGATTAACCTATTTTCGAAGTCTTGATGAAAATGGTTGAAATTTCAGTGAAACAGTGATAATTGAGTGAATCTTAAGTGAAAACTTTGATAAAGTTTTAGAGCTTTAGAGTGTCTTTACAGACAACATTTGTTTAATATTTGATATAGTGAGGAAAATGTTAAAACCCCTTTAAGATTTTTTTTTTAGTGATGAGCAGATCTGCCAGGGCTGGGTTAGTAAACAGTTTTATGAATCTTAGATGATATTAGCGAACTTTTCACCGAACCCCACTGAAGTTTATGAGGGGGTAAATCTTGTTATTTAGTTCTGGCCATTTTAAGGCTAAAAAGTAAGCTGTTGTTGTGAGAAAAGAAAAAAGGCATGGGAACCACTGTAGTGAGCCCACCATTTTATTGAGGGAGGTAGGAACATCCATTCCTACAACTTATTGCCATTTGTGACTCAGCTAACCAGTAGCAAAAGCTATGCACTGCTTAATAGGTTGTTCACTAGTTCTGATGGTGAACATGCAAAGTCAACAGCCAAATGTTCATTATTCACAGACTTTGCAAATGCCAGGGACCCCTAACCTCATCACTAGCCATTATTGCTGTGTGTCCCCACTAAGTAGATTCATTCTTTCTATATGTCATGGTTATCTCTGGGACAGGAAGTAATGGGAAATTCAAAATATCATGACTGCCATCTGGGTATCTGAGGGTAACATTTCCCTTCACTTTGGATGGATTTCTTCTCACTTTCTGTTGTGTTTCTGGTATAGGATGCGAGGGGAAATCTCCCCAATGGGACGCATAGAGCAAAAATAAATAATAATGAAAATAATAATGACCTAACAGTAATGAGATATATTACTAGTAAAAAGAAAGAATAAACTCTTCCAGGGAGTTTGCAAAAGTTTTAAATGTTTACTATTGCTCTGAATGTATTTGACTCTTCTGACAACGCAGCTTGATCTGAACTATGTATGTTAATACTTACATCTCCATGGATGAGTGGGTTCAGGTCTGGGATATACATTTCTGGATAGACATTTTTCAGGTACCAGGTAAAATTTTTACACTGAAGATTTTGCCGCAAGCGGACTCTCTTGGAAATATTACCATACGATTTCTGCCAAAACAGGAAAGTACAATGACGTCTTATAAAAGGTAAATAATGATGAATAGCAGTATTGTTGTAACATAGCAAAATCAACTCTTTAGCCAGCAGATATGCTTCAAAACATTTTACTAATATTTATACTTTAAACAAAGATCCATTAAAAATCTTGCACAGCAGGTCAACCGAAACTCAGAACATTCGAACCGTTCCAAAGTTGATGGCACTGAAGCGAATACATGCTAATACTAAATCTACTTAGGAAGGAAACATCTCATCCTATATCTCTCTACCTCCCCAGTGTCTTGCCACTCCACTTTAAAAAAACGTGTTGATGGAGTGCACGACCCAAGGATACAAAGAAACAAGTTCAAGATTCAGCCCTTATATTTAGTCTCTCTCTCTCTCTCTGGAAGAATTGATGCCGTTTTGAAGGCAAAGGGTGATCACACCAAATATTGATTTGAATTTCTCTTCTGTTCATTTAATTTTCATTTTGTTTATTGATAAAAATAAACTATTAACACTTTGAAAGCATTCTTAAGTTAAAGCATTTTTTCACACCTGCCTAAAACCTTTGAACAGTATATATTTATATATAAATAATAACATTTTACATCTTGTAAAGTTTTCATTGATAGGTCCATAGCTAAAATATAAAAACTGATCTGGTCCATAAAGATCTGAGAAATGGTTAAACAGCTGTCAAGATTTAGAGCAGATCTCCTGATACCCAATGCCAATGATCTAATGATCTAATGATCTAAGCTGTTTTTTGAACGCTAGTTATACATTTTGTGTGCATGTGTGCAGATATTGTGATAAATCCTCAGGAAATAAGACATACCTGCTCGACCATTATGGCTGCCTCATGATTTCTCCTGTAAAATATTTCTTTGTATTCATCCATCCAGACTTCAGCCAGACGGACCTGGTTTCGGATGATGACCTGTGTTCCTTTTGGAAAGGTATGAGGACTTTTGCTACGGAATACATGGCCCACAACTGCACAGGGCAAGATCTCCAGCTGTCCACCACACTGCCACACCTAGGTCATAACAGAGATTTGTTGTAACTTCTGAGTCAGGAGGTTACATATCCAGTAAATCAAATATAAGTTTGCATTTTAACAAAAAAAACTGAATAATACTTAAGTATATATGTATTAAAATGTATCCAAAATGATAGCAATCATGAGATAGATGGTAATGTAAATTGATGTTTAAATTACATATTAATGTAATTTAAAAGGACTCTGGCAGCAAAGGGTCACTTGCATGAACAACATACCTGCTAAAAGATGACTCCATACTACTGACCTTTCCAGCAGCCCATTTCTTAAGTCTAAAGCTGATACTTCTCTACTCAACATCCCCTGCTAGCATTTGACCCATTGGGTGGGTCAAATACCCGTCTAATAGGTCTAATCTGTCTATAACCTGTCACCATGGTTGCTCCTGCTAGTACTTACATCTTGTAGTAGCTTACAAGCCAGTGGGAGAAACCATAGTGAGTAGCAGGGGGAGCAAGTATTCACACACATGAAAGTATGTGAGCATTTGCATTGGCCAGGAGAGCAGTGAAGCAGTGGCTTTTCAGGGTACGAGCTGTATATTACGTTTTTTTTTTTTTTAGTCAGGTATGTTGTACATACAAGTCATTTTGAAGATTCGGCCCAACCAAAACTAAGATTTCAGTTTTTCAGAGATGTTGGAAAGAAACCCAACCTAACAATCTTTTGGGGACTCAACCGTAGAGGTCTATGGTCTCTGAGCTCCTGGAACTGAACACCTGCTTTGTCCACTATGATGGATTTTCACTCTCCCTGTCCGGCATTTCATTTATTTAAATTTGAACAAGCAAAAGGTGGGTAGACACACCTAAAACTCCCATGTGGATTGAGACAAGAAAATAAAATGATGGCACACATCTCACTATTTATACAAGAAGCCAGGGGTTAACTAATTCAGTCTACAAGATTTCACACACACACACACACACACACACTCTTTTGGACTAGGGTCTATATCACTCCCAGTGGCATGCTGTAATTTTTAGTTTCATCACAGCTGGAAGGTCGGAGTTTGGCTAACCCTATTTTAAAGTGTAGCTTTGCAGACATATTTGACCCCCCCCCACACACACACACACACACACACACACACACAATTAGTTTTGTAGTGTTGCCACTGATAGAGGGTCAGAGTTTGCCTACCCCTAGTCTACACCATGAACCATTCAAGACGAAGCTAACCAGTTACCAAGAAGAACATTTCCTACGTTAGTATGACTAAATTACATTTGTAAAAAATATCTTTGAATTACTTTCTATAGTTTTTAGGGGTGGGATGAGGGCTTTGCTAAGCCACAAGTCAACACTTTTCAAACCACTGCATCCTATTCCTATAGGGCCCTGCAATTCTATAGAAATATCAGTATAGTGATGCTGTGTCTTTTAGGTTGTATCCACTATTTTAAACATGCAAATAACAAGGCACGCTCACAACCATGCTGATAATAGTTTTCTGTCTTCTGGTGGATTTTATTACTTATTCGACATCGACATGTCTTGACACAGCTGTATTAAGTCTTGTAATCAGCACATTCAGATGTCTCTAGCCTGACCACACACTGATCTAAAACATTCTTCACATATCACTACTCTAAACCGTGATTGAAAGGGTTGTTATACACAAAAGTCCTTGTAAAAAGCCTTAAAAACTCTATCGCTAGAAATCCACAGGCAACTTTTATCAACATCACACAAAAAAAAGGTAGCTAAATGTGACTAAGCCACAGTTCTCTATTAAAACCGTAACAGGGAAAAAACAATTGCTACCACCTCTGGTGCTGAGAAAGATATGAATTGTGCTACCGAGATTGCTTACATAAATTGCACGACTAAAAGTTGCCTGGAACGTTACTAAATAAAAAGCAGTTTGTTCCAAGGCAGGCGCCCAATCATGTGATTTCAGCTGGACAATCAAAAATGTCACGTGTAGCTAAATGCATTTTTAAAACATACATATCACCATACAAAGTGAATATAACCACCTTCTGACAGTCAAGGAGATGTGCACATATAAGGGAGAGTTTGGGTTGATTGCAATTTGGCAGGGGTAGGCAACCTTCCAACAGTTGTGGAGCTACAAGTCCCATTAGGCTTTGCAAGACTGACAGGCATGACTCCCAAAGGCAGAGGCTCTGGGTTTTGTAGTTTTACAACAACTGGAATGCCAAGGTTGCCTACCCCCTGCTCTACTGGTATATTTTTGGACTGTAGAAAGAAACCTGAGCAGCCAGGTGAACACAACAAAAATATAGGGAGAACATAAATTCTGCATAAATACTGCACATGCTGGGATTTAATCCCCGGATCGCAGTGTTGCATGGCAAGAATGCCAGCTACTTGGTCGTTGTACTAATTATCTACATGTAAATTGTCTTTTTTCAATTTTCTGAATTGGGTCCGGTGCACACTAATTTCATATACTTCCATTAAGCGAATACTATAAATGTAATATTCTGTACATACCCATTTTTATTGGTTTTTGTTCATCTATTATGCATATGAAAATGTCAGTAAAATAAATAAATAAGCAGACAGAATTACGCCAGCTTCTTGTTTAGCGCAGCAACGTGACAGCAGTAACACAGTGTAGTAAACACAGCTGGGCACAAAGCAATGATCAGACTTAACACAAAGAACCAGTTTCCTCCAGCCCACCAGAAACCACACTACTAAAACATTATACTTACTCTAAAAGACATTTCTATGTTCTCGCCTCCCCAGATTTCCATTTCTTCATCATAACTTCCGATATGCTCAAAATATTCCTTGGAGATTGAGAAAAGGCCCCCAGCAAATGTTGGTGTCCTGTATAAAAGCATAGTACATAACATGTAGTTGTACTATGGATCATTTAAAGTCACCTGTCCCTTTAAGAAAAAGTATCTGTAATTGGTATCGGCAAGTACATGAGGGGATGTACTTGGGCCTGAAAAAGTGGCATCGGGACATCCCTAATATATATACATACATACATACATACATACATACACACACACACACACACACATACATACATACATACATACATATATACACTTGCTATTGCCATGAGTGTCCCCATAGAAAAGGGAAAGGTCTATTCTGACACTATCAACTGTAGCAGGAAGTCAGGAGAAATTTTCCACACAGGGACAACACGGCAATAAAATCGTGTGTGAAGTGACAGCAAGAGCACACCAAGCAGAGAATATAAGTTCAATTATTTGTCACAGTAAAGATATATAAATGGATGACAGCCAACATGAAAATCCCTCTTCATCAGGGCTTACATTTATTATGCTCAATTAATCTGGACAGATAATTATTGTCCTGGAACTTTAATAGAAACAATTACTGCTCCCTCTGGTCACTGGTCTAGCAGCAAAAAAAACAGGTTTAAAACCTTCCGTATTCATTAGAAAATGGGTTTGTATTGCTGCGCATTTCCTCATTTAGAAGATTTCTCCTCACTTCCGGTCTGTTTTATGGGTCAATCAGGACATAGGTGAGAGGAAATATTCCCAACAGAGACACAGAGGGCAATTAAAATACATATCCAAGAAGAGTAGTTAAGTTTCAGAACCTCCATCAGGTTTTTTTATGATGCAGTTAGTAAAAGCGCCACCTCAATGAGTCCAAGATTATAATCTTTGATATGGAATGACATGGATTAAAACAACCAATGCATTTCAAGAGCAACCCCCTTCATCTGGGATTTAAAAGCTGCATGTACATTGAAGACTGGACTTATTAAAGGATAAATAAACTCAAGAACACAAATGTAATATATATTCTGCAGATTAACAGTCCTTACATGTGGTGGCTGCATTAATTTTCATTTTTCAGCTAAGAACATTTTCAGCAAAAAAATGCTGTGACCTTGTCACCGATTTTGTGATTTAAACCAAAAACGCAAAACAATGTGATCTTCCTTCTGTAAACTACTACAGTTTTGCGCAAACATCTGCTTGCATGAGCAACTTTAAGGTTTGGAATTTTCATGCTAGCAGATGTCATTTGTTCGAAACAGAGTAGCCAGCAACCTAAACTGCTTCCACACTTACTCTCCTGAACCTGGATCCTTTGCCCTAAAGACCAACCTTTCCTGTGTTACCAGCATGGGGATCTACTCTTTTCTTCATCATTATCTCAAATCTGCTGTAATCAGATGGATTGCATCTTAGGGTAGATGTTGCCATAGGTCGTGATCAGAGGGACTGATTATTCAGGTAAATGCTTCACACAAGATTTGCACAGCTTATACTCAGGATTCACACATTTTTACAATGAAATCAAATTAGAAAAAGTTGGGTTAAACCAGTGTGAATCTTGTGTGAGAACATTTATTTATAGAACTCTCACATATAGTCCACAGTTCTTAGATCATGAATACCTCTAAATTTCAGTTGCTGACACACATGCTTTGTTACACCATACCAGGATCATTATCATGATTTCTTACTTTATTGGATAGGTTTCATCTTTCCTTTTCTTGTTTTCAGAACTGGGCAGAGATTCCCATCCAAACGCCAAACCCCAGTCAAAGTTCCCCCGATTGCGGTTATTTCCATATGGGGAAGGGTGGCCAAACTCAAACGTGCTGAGATCAATGGTGACAATATCTGGGCTCACCACTGCAGTGTGGTTGTTTGCAATTCTTGAAAGTAAGGGTTCCAGCCAGCCATGGTAACACTCACCTGGAACAAGGAGAAGAACGTGTATAAAACTATGATTTAATTCTTTTGTCATGCTGAACAGAGCCAGGAGCTTCACAGCCTCAACTTGAACCATTTGCAGTCACTGGGATTGTTTTCTAGCTATAATTAGTGGTTTGTTCACAAAATGTGATGTTAAAAGCCTATAATGGATGTGCTGAGCCTTTAATTACAAGCCCCCTGCAGTAAAATATAAAACCAGCTGGATTTTTACAGTAACAAAAAAAAAAAGAAAAAAAGTTTAGTATTCCTAAATACAAGACACAACTATTACTGCACTTCGAGAGAATAGAGAGAAAGATAACGAGCATCTCAGTTTAAGAAATGGCAGCAATCCTGGGGAGGGGGGATAACTATATGCAATATGGATCAATAGATGAAGCATTACAGAACCCCTTGGCTTTGACACCTCCCATCTTGAAACGGACCAGTGGTTTCTTGAAAGATATTAATCTGGTCCCAGGACTGTATAGCAAGAACTTCAAGGGAGGTACCTCATAAATTATTCTCCTAAATGGCTCAGGAACGCCAAAAACGTGGCATGCTATATTAGGTAAATTTCAACCAACGATTACATGGTGACTCTCTGGCCTGCTGCTACTCCTTTCCACCTCCCTTTTGGACGCTAAGGCCAACCATCACAGTAACTGAACAAGAGAGAGGTGTGGAAGGTGGGAGTGGTGGGCCACCATAAAAGTTTTGGTCAGAAATGTGGGGGTTTTGGAGTGTCTTGGGCTTTTGGCACATCCTGGGAATAAACTGATGACATGCATGCAGGCACCTTGTGATGAAAAGGGGCTGGATTAAGATCTTTCAAGATGCTAAAATTACACTTTAAACCTAATCCTGCAATCAGGAGGTTCTGGAATAAAAGCACAACAGCTCACTAGTTCATTCCACAGCAATCTGACCTGAGGAAGCGGAAATACAACCCACTTATTTAATGATAATTAATCACGGCTATGCAGCCACACAGTATTAAACCTTTGGCCCCTTGGTCACCATACCAGTTGAATCATCTTTTATACACATATAAGGAGGACCTTGGCCAGGCTGGTGTTGATAGATGGTGTGAAAGTAGCATCTCTAGGCTACAGAGTTTTTAAAAAAATGAGGGAGGGTACCAGTGACAATTCAATGGTGCAGTAGCCAGTTTGGCTATTAGAAAACCCAGGAATATGCGGATAGGACATCCCCTTGCCTAAAGTGCCCTTAGCAATACCAAGAATAAGAAATGGACACCACTGAACACTGTATGTATTGATGAGATCATGTAACCATGGGCAGATTGCTCTATCCTTGGTGGTGGACAAGAGAGCCCTTTATTGTAATTGATTGCAAATCAGCAGGTCATGATGGGACCACCTAATCAAATATATGCATAAAGCTTGGTGAGTAAATAGGTAGCACTCTCCCTTTTTTAGTACCGAGTCTTGGGTCAAACGCAGAGTTTAGATGCACCTCATGTGTTTGTGTTGGGATTCCTCCTGGAGATATAGTTTGTTCTCTCAAACAAAAACATATGAACAGGCTAGCTAACTAGAGTCCACCCTGGCCTTGCTACTTTTTTGTGCCAATGACCGCAAACTCACTACTTTCACCAGCAAATTAGCATAAAGCTGACTCGGGCCCAAAGGTTTTATGAAATAAACTTTTACTTACTGATTTTAAATTAAGATGAACTTTTTTAAATCACTTAGCAAAACAATCATTCTGTACTCACAATGTGCATCCAAAAAGGTCAAAGTGTCCCCTGTTGCTACAGATGCGCCCAACAGTCTGGCTGAAATAAGCCCCTTTCTTTCCTTTTGTCTGACCACTTTGACAATTTGCAGCGGTTTCACATAGTCATCCAGCTTTTCTTTCAAATACTCTAACAGAGACAAAACAGAAAAGATGTTAAAAGACAAACTTTCGGGAACTCGGTAAAGGGCAATTTTAGTTTAAAATCATGATATTATTTAAAACAATGAAAGTGTCCAAACCATCATTTTGTAATATGTGTGATGCCAATGACGCTGTAAGAAATTCAGGGTCCCTGAGACTGTCCACCTCTGACTTTATCATTAACATTCTAAAATGAAAGCATTGATCACAAGCAAAACTCATGGTTTTCTAGAAGTAACATCTTGATCAGTGACATGTTTCTGCTGCTAAAATTTAAGGGATGAAAGTGGTTGCCATTTGTCAGATGCCCACCCACCAAAGGCACTGGAGGATTGGGTTCAGAAACAGCGAGCGTCCAGGTCAAAAATTGTACTCTGTAAAAGGTCCCCATAGCCATTAAATGACAAATGTCAAATCAGGCAGAATGGACAACGATGTCTTTGGGCTACCTCCAGATGGCACAGGCCGAGACTCACTGAAGAGAACAGAAATCAGACAGAAGCAAAATCCTTATCCAACTGCTATTATTTTTCAAGGAGTCTACAATGTCCCTCTTACACTTCTCTGTAAAATCCTAAACATGAATAGTCACACAATGCAGCTGCTTATTTTTAGGGATGCACAATGGACCGGCAGAGGTCTCTGCATTACCAATTACTCTCTACTGGTCACCTTCAAACTAGGAACCTTCATGTTTTATCAGCATGTTTAGAAGGGAATTGCTTAAAACACAACTAACAATTTGTTTTAGTTTTAGGTAGACCTGGGCATTGAAATACTTTTGTCATATTTTTATTGCAGTCTATGACCCCGTTGGGAATAGTTCAGCTCACCTCCCATCCTTTTGAGTGTTGAACAAGAAATGAAGGCAGCCATTGTTGCGGGGATAGGAAGAGAGAGGCAGAAATAACCTGACAGAGGTTCTAATCCTTCACCATGTTAGTGAAACATCTTTTGGCGTTAGCGGTGTCCCCACTGGAGAGACTGTCCATCACCTCCTGTCCTGATAACCTGAAATTAGCACTTGCTGCAAATGTACTATGGGCTCCCATCATAATGTGGATTTTCAACAGTGGACACATAGACAAATAAGCTTTTCAAACTGACCCATTTATCAGCTCTTGGAATGGTTTGCCTGATAGGCGATGATCCATAGTGAACTTCTAGAGTAAAATGAATTGCTTTGCTCATCCTTGTATTAAACAGTTATTCTTTGAACTTCAAAGCAGGTTCTCTATCACTAAACCTTTCCAGCAATTTACACATCTACATGAAGCCAAGCATACGGTAAACCTGTATCATTTCTTTAAAATAATAATAAAAAAAAAAAAAAAGGTATTTGTACGTAATTTTGCCATCTCAAACATTACAATAATACACATATGTATTTAAAGCCCAATCAACTTACCATCTGTACTGGCATCATCCACCATAAGGATCTCCTTGAGAAGAATGGCAGGTGATGTGTACAGAACACTGTATACCGTACGCAGAAGAGTAGACCAAGCCTCATTGTGGAATACAATTATGATGGTTGTCGTGGGAAGCGGAGGGCAGCGCTTAAACTTCTGTTCAATACACCTAAAATGTATGTAACAGGAATAATTAATAGCATAGTAAAATGCTGTTTTACACACATTTCTTATTTTGTTTTAAATTTTTACATATCAAATCTAAAAACAAAATATCAACCAGAATGTGATAGTAAGTCAAACAGGAGAGGAGACAGAGGTATTTCAGCTGGTAGTTATTAAACTAAAGACTGCAGAAATATATATGACTTTAGTGTTTTCATAAATCCAGCAGACACCATCCATTACTGACCTGTTCTGGATTGGGCAGGTTCTACTCCTCAGTAGAGGAAGGAAATGTTATATATATGTAACAGGATTCTGCATTCAGAGAACAAGGCAATACATTGCGTCTTTTGTAGTACTGGTCGAGCCTGGTGCCATCCCAAGGCAACAATAAACACACAATAAGGCAACAATAAACACAGCTTGGTTCAACAGCTTAACTTAGGTTGCACTACCTTTAGTGGATGTTACTGACAACAAATGCAATATGAATAGACACAACTTATCAAGGTGGCCAATCTTTTCCAAAATGTAGTCAAAGTCAGGGATGGCTGTTATGACATTCCCTTGCAGCCCTCTAGGGTTTCCTTGCAAATTTTAGTTAACTATTTCTGTTGTGTTTCTAACTGATTGTGACAAAAACACCCTTAGCAAAAAATAAAGCTATATTCCATACATCAACATTAAGAATTGAAAGAGTCCACCTGTCCAAAGCTTTCATTTTCCAAAGCAGACCATCCATCCTTTTGTAAAAGCTAGTGGTCAGTGGTCTGGATGTTTTGGGAATATAGCAGTGAAGTGGTGTACAATAATAGCCATGGGTAGCAGTAAGAAGGTAAAAATTTAGGCAGTACCTTCCACGTGGCTAACTGAATATATTTTAAGGTGCAGCTTTTTGAAACTGGTATGGTTTCACTTCAGTGCATTATATATATTGTTCCAAGGATTTCCAGCACTACCCATCAAAGTCTCTCTGGTTTGCCCTACTCTTTTGCCATATCTTTTTTTGTTTTACTTTTTCTAATTGGGGTGACCTGTTGCCCACGCCCTGCTAACACATATTATTTCTCTTCTGTAATTCTAAAGTTAGGAATAAAAACGGACACAATAAAGTCTGTCTGCAGTCTAATGACATACACACCTGTTTTTTTTAAGTGACATTTTAAAAGTTATACACTGCAATCTGCATTAGGCATAGCTCCCAACTGGCCCCAATTTCGAAGGACTGTCCCTCTTTTGGAGCCTAATCCCTTTGTCCCTCTTCTTCAGTTGTTCTTTTTGGTCTGATGTAAAGTATGTTATTTATCAAAAGTGTTTATCTGCACTAAACCTTTTATTTAATCCTTAAATAATTCAATTTTTTTATTTTTAAAAATGTAAAAAAAAAGGAAAAAGTAGTAATAAAAAAAAGCAATGTTTGGTTAATCCAATTGTTTTTTGCACATGAATTCTCAAGTCTGGAGGTGTGATGGGGTGTGTCCTTTGTCTACGTACTTCATGTATAGTGCTACATTTTCTGACGACAGCTGTCCAAACAGTCAAGCAAAACGAAACAAATGGCAAACACACTCATCAATTCGTTACCAGCTTTACAGCAAGGTGCACACGGAAGGGCTTTTTGCTGTTTTAGCTGTCTAAACAGGGTATTTTCATAACTTTGGCGATATTTACTCTCATTTCCTTTTGTATTTATGGGACAGAAAGTAATGGGAAATCTCCCCAATGGGAAACAATGGGAGAGGTTTTAACCACTCTATAAAAAAATTAAAGAAATTGGCTATAGTCCAATAATCTATAGTCCAATGTGTCGTCTAGCATTAAAAACAAAGACTTTGTAAAAGGATAATAAATGCCAAACATACTCAGGAGGCCTTGTGTCTGGTCCCAGGTCTCGGTGTAAGGAAATTCTGTCACTAGCAAAGGCGTTAAAACAATGTTTTTTTTCTCCTTGTTCCCTTTCTTCCTCCTCCTTGGGGGTGAGTTTGTCCATTTTAAATGGCTTTCCAGCAGCTCCTGGCGCATTCGGATCCTGAGGTGGGCGCTCAAGGAAAGGTTTAAGTTCTGCCGCTGTGTAATATCCCGGTAAACACCGTTTTTTTCCTTCATCATCAGGCTGTCTTTCAGGTGCCTTGATCTGCATTTTTGGCATTGAATCTTTAATGTTATTTACAGCATCTATTACCATGTCCAACATCTTTTTTTTCTTCACATGGGAACCGTCATGTGCTCCAAGCTCATCCATTTCTCGATCTACTACTTCTTTTTGTATCAAGAACACAAATGCCATAAAAATTAGGGTGATGGCACCGAGCTTCCAGTGCATAAATCGCTGGCCTAGAACCAGTCTTTTAAAGTTTGTCATGTTTATTTTTTAATGCTCGTCAACCAACGAGGAGAAAATGTCGTCTACAGCGTAGACATTATTTTTGGTGCAACGTCATCTTCCAAGACCTATAAAACAAAGTTTTACAATTGACTTAAGTATATAGAGTAACAAATCAAAATGTAGATGTGAAATCCAACACTTAGGCTAAGGCCCACACCATAACAGTCTGCTGCTAGTGGATGTATAAAGTCAGGTCAAAATAATATCATTACTATTTAAAGTTGAACTCCAGACTACTTTTAGTTTTGCACAGTTGCAAAAGCAGTGACATCACAGCATTGCCTGCCATCCATTCAGAGAATGCCTAGTACTCACAGAGAAAAATACAAGCAGGGTTATTCACAAAAGTGTTAAGAGTTTGGAGAAGGCAGGAGAAGTGTACAATCTAGGCCAAAATAGCGGATTTAGAAACATTATCCAATTCAGCTCATTTTCCAGTTCAGCTATGTTGTCCTAGATTGTTCACTTCTCCTGCCTTCTCCAAACTCTTCACCCTTTTGTAAATGACCCTGTAGGTGTTCACTTAATGGCCACTGTGCTGAGACTGCCATTGCTGGCCTCTCTTTCTGGAACAGTTAGGAAGCTTTAACTTCACTCTGACAACACTGACTTCATACTTATGTGCCTCAGAAAGCACTGAAACCAGAGATAGTCAGGCAACTAAAAGTTTCAGAAGAAGCTCAGCAATGGAGGCCTACATACTTCTCTCAAATTTCCTTTAAATAGGTATAAGTAGGTCAACATGTAATTAAGTAGCTAAAATTAGATAAACGTATTAGATTGGCATTTCTCCTTATTCTACATGTTTGCTTGTATTAAAAAAAATGTTCCAGTGATTCATGTGAAAGTCATGAAGCATATTAATTCATAGAAAAGGTTAGTGCGTGACTGTTACATCCCATTATGTACAGAAGGAATACACTGGATAAACAGGTGTGGTCATTTAGCACAGCTGCATCTCTCTCAGTACAGCTGCTCTACGCAGGGCAATGCGGAGTGTAGGCTGCTCTGCCCTTTAAAATAACTGAATTTAGAGAGATTAAAAAACTGCAAGCAATGAAAGCCTCTCTAATACATATTTAAAAGAGAAAAGGAACTCACATCTGTGTTTTAGGCTTTTGGACACATAGTAAAAATAATGTTTCAATGGCATCTGAATGGGTCATGACTCTGAATCATGTTATCATGACATCACCTTGCCATACCTCCCAATTTTAGAGATGAGAAAGAGGGCCACCTTCCAGCACAATGCATTTAGGCAATGGATACACCCCTGCCATGCCCCCCAATTATGCAGACTATTACCAATTTTTATGCCAAAAATTATTGATTAAACCCAGAATTGTTTTTGTTTCTACCAATACTTTTTCTTTTATCGGGTTTTCAAAATAGCAAACAAGATAATTTAGAGCTAGGGTTTTTAGTGTGTAATAACACTGAGAAGGAAAGAGGGACAGAGGGATTTGGTTCCAAATGAAGGATAGCTGGAAGGTATGCATTACACAGAATGCATACTAGGTCATACTTGTCATCTAAAAACACATAACCAACAGGTTATGGGCCCAGGCACTAAACAGAACAATGCAAGTCAACAAAAGCCGCATCCATGCTACTGAAAGATGGCAAGTAGTTCAGATATAAAGTTTGCAATCGCAGAGCTAAACAATAGGAACTACCAGCTAGGGAAGTTCAAGCTTGAAATGCTCGTCAGATCCAAACCTACCCAAGTATTGGGGAGAACCAGCCATGACTGCAACATACACATTTTTCTATTATCACATTATTATAAAAAGGTCAGTATAATGGAAACACATTGATAAAGCCAATTATTTTTTGCTTATTAATTCTTCGTGATCCACGTCAGAACATGGCAGGGGGCATGTCCTTTGCCTACACACTTTGTGCTAAAGAGTGTCCCTCTTTCCCATCTCAGAAAGTTGGGAGGTATGACTTCACCTTCATGGTGCCAGGTTGCCCAGCAAACTGTAACCAGCCTCCAGCACAAATAATAAAGACTTTTGGACAAAGTATATTGCATTGCTTTGCTTTGTCCAAAAACAGATTGCAATAAAAAAATTATTTTATTCAGAAATCTGAATTATATTGGAGAACTGTAAAATGCTTTTAACTGGGTTCAAAACTGATAACTGGGATTATAATAGAACTAACATTAGTCCCAGTTCAAATCTGCATGTTGGGCGTCACATGTTTTAGACAGGTTACCATTGGGCCTTATGCAAATCACAAGACTTTATTTTTTATTTTATTTTTTACCAAACACCCACAATGCACAAATGTGAATGGAGGCTGGGTTACTTTTTCCACAAATTCTGCTCTACATTCTTTTTCAGAACAAATTACACTTTAGTATTAACAAAAAAAGTTTGAACAAATAATGTACTTGACAAAAATTAGTTAAAAATAAGTACTCGCCTTAAAAAAAAAAAAAAAATAGCAAATCTAGAAATTGTTTCATTTCATTCCTCGTGTTTGTGCCAATCAGCCAATCAGCCAATCAAAACTTTCTCCATTTCATCCGTTTGTAACTTAATAATAACAGCAGTAAAGCCAACGTGGTGTGAATGCAACGTTGTATGAAACAAGCTTTAGAAAGTTGAAAGCCATTAATGATTCACTAGCTGAAATGTAAATCGGTTATACTAATTCTATATTTATTTTAGCCAAACCCATATATGTGTATCAAACAGTACGCGATAAGAAGCTGAAATAATGTGGCCACAAGTAAATAGCTGAAATTTGAGCCAAGTGTATGAACAGTTATTCCTATGGACAGCAGGTTGACACGTCCCTTCTCTTTCCCAAATATATATGGTGGTGGCACACAGATCCGCACCAGCTACTACACAACAGTAAAAGGAGGCAGGGTGACAAAATGGTGAGGTCTCACATTGTAGACCAACAGAAATGTATGAAATATTTTCTGTACATTGAGGAGACAAAACAACCCCTCAACAAATGAATGGCCCAACATAGGAGGACACATTTTACAGGTTCAGCAAGGAATACTCTTTCAAGGACAGTGAGGTGCACATTTTCTACAGAGAGGACAATTGCTTTGCAAAAGTCATGAAAGAGGTCATCTACGTCAAACTGGAACAACCATCTTTGAACAGGATTACGGGCCTTCAACACCATCTGTCTCGCACATATCTAGAGCATGCTCATTTTAGCCATGTAAATCGAAGGTTTAATACCTATACAGACTTCTGGACACCAAGGATGGGATTGTACAACTAGACAGGGCTTTACCTTTTGCAGCTCCCATCCTGTACTTGGACAATCAACATCTGTCTTTTCATGGTGATTGGATTAAGGGTCTGAGCTGAGGTATTTTTCCAACACTCGGAATGGAAGAAGTGGATGGATACGCCTCAAAATGTTACAGTGAAACAAGTTCTGTTGAGTGTGACTATCTACTACTAGCTATATAAATGACCTGGATAAACGAAAACCTTCACAGACATATTCTGAAATTTCTAGTTTGCCAAGGAGAATCTCCTTACCACAACAGTTCATATAAATGTAATGAGACATATATTAATGTCCTACGACCCTTTATATACATCTGGCGATCAGAAATGGGGCCAGTACTGTGAATATGCAGAGCGTAAGAGAACCAACATATTCATACATCTGTCACACTGTATTTTGTCTAAAGCTGTTCCAGAAGCACATACAAACAGAAGTTTACACTTAAAAGGTCCACAGAGACTTTGCAAGGGTAGCCAAAAAAATAGAATTTGAATCTGCCCTCCGGTCTTCTGCCTGTAACTTGCTCAGGTCTGTACAGATGTTGTCCCTGTAAAAGCAGATTGCTTGTGCTCGAATTACAGCATGTTATTGTGCATAGGTGTATGCCATTTGTTAGCAGTTCATGTAAATTCGGCAGCAGTGGGATTGACTTGAACATCCTGGGTGAACTGCCAGTAATGACTGTGACAGAAACACTGGAAAAGCCAGTTTGGCTAGAAAAGGGTGCTGTGTGTACCTGAGAAACTAGAGAACTCAAAAGCAATGGCGTCATCGATAGGATCAGGATTGATGAAAAAAGCGATCTTCACTGTTTTCTGTCTTTCAACGCTTGGATAAGCCAGAGCATGTTGAGGTAGCAACTTTGCAAAACTTTGGGAAGGGGGTGTTGGACACAATGTCCATTTCTAACTGAGAATGTTTTAGGTTTGTCATGTTAAACTGTACACGTGGTGTAGACTGACTCCTGTCCAGCCATATTTCCAAAAGAATATAGTGGATACCTCAAAAGCCTGGACAGATTGCATAAAGTCATAAGTACTCCCTATAAAGCTCATTATTTTACAGCCCTGCATTACAGGTGTCAGCTTGACAAAAAAGCCTCAGTGCTGTAAAGGCAAGAAGCCCAAGTGTAAATTAAACCAGTGCTAAAAGAATATGGAGACTGCCATTGCCAATGTCGCCTTGTGACAATGCTAGTTACCCGGATACCATGATGATCCAACAGCTTTAATACTTTATGAGTTACTCAACTGAAACATTTATTCAGATTAGGAGTTATGACTGTACTCTAATGTACATGGTTGTTCCAGTTTAGCAACTCAAAAGCAGCTCAAACTATTGTAGAACAGTGTTGCTCAACATTTTTAATTCATGAAACCCTTTAAATGTATGCAAAACCTTAAGGCGCCTCAGTGTAAAATGGGGCTCCACTTTACATCACAGTCCCCCCTCTCACATAAGAGTCCCCTTCTTTACACCTGGAGTCCCCTTAACATTCCCGTCTCTCACATCAGTCCCCTCCAGCTTACATCAGCCCCCTTTTACATCAGCATACCCCCATTCACAATGTGTCCTCATCTTTCACATCAGAGTCCCCCCAACCAAGCAGGCTGTGTGAGTGGCTGCTTGCTAAGACAAACTGGCCAGCTCACACTTCTTTCTTGATTGCTCCTCCACTCCGTGCTGCAGCGCTCCATCCCGTCTCAGCAGATATGTACTTCCTCAAACACAGGGTAATTGTTTGGTATGGTCGGTGCACCACAACAACCAAACACCCTGTGTGGGCGTGGCA